TGGCTTCCTGGAGGGCTGGGCCTGACAGCAGCGGGAGCTCGTGTGTCTGGTGACCGAGGGTCATCTGGCCCCCGCGCAGCCCCACTGCTCTGGGGCCCCCGCGCCGCCGCGGCCCCGACACCTGACCTTTCATGAAACCAAAACATCCGCGAATGCGCAGCGGCTCTGGCCCGCCTTTCAGCACCCGGCGAGCGGCGTTTTGCTTGTGCTTTGGTGGCCCGTTGCCCGCTCCTGGGGGCCGGTCTCAGGCCTGCCTGGCCCTTCTCCGGCCCCTCCTTGCTCACCCAGGACGAAGGAAGGACTTGTTACCACGTCAGCAAGCCTTGCTTCTAAACTGAAATGATGGGGAAAGGTGAAAGTGGATCCCTCTAGATAGCAAGTGACAGTGACTCCGGTAATAATAATGAACAGTGTCCCTGTACCGTTGACCACATTATATCGTTTCGCTGTCACCGCGGTTGTGAAGTCTGTGCCATCCCTGAACTCATTCGGTGTCACACCTCTGGCAGCCCCCACCAGGTGCCAGGCACAGTCCTGGGCACTTGATCACGATTAAACGCCCTCCCGAAGTTTATGTTCCAGTTGGGGGACACACGTAAGCACATGATTTCTGGTCGTGGTCAGTGCCGTGACCAGAATAAAGCATGTTAATGGCATCGCAAGTGCAGAGGGCAGGGAGGGTGTGCAGAGCGGGAAGCTGCGTGGGGTGGGATGGTCCGGGGAGTCCTCTGAGAGAGGGACGTTTAAGCCAAACCCTGAGTGACACAAGGGAGCCAGCCAGCTGCAGACCTGGAAGGAAGTGTCCCCAGTAGGGGCAACAGTCAGCAGAAGGCTCTGAGATGGGCACAAGTATGAGAGCAGTAAGCGGGCCGGAAGGCGGGCAGATGCCATGGCGGACACCTAGGCCCAGAGAGGCCAACGGAACCGTAAAGTGTCACGTAGCCTGTGAACGTCAGAGCTGCCTTTTCAGGCCTGGGTTTCCCAATCCCACCCTCCTTTCGTTGCCCTGTGCTGTGTTTTCCGTAGGTCTGGGCGAGTCTGGGTTTTCTGCATTTTGACGAAGACGTGTGCTCTGTTTACCTCGTGGCCGGGCCTGATGGATTGGGCCCGGCTGGGTCGGGGAGATGAGTGACTGTGCCTCATCTTGGATGCTTTTCACAAAAGCTTGTAGAGTTCCATTGACGTGATACCCTCCGTAGATGGGATTGTTTGAGGTTTGGACAGGCCCTCATCTGGAAATGACTTCTCCTTAGAGTAGTGATTGCTACTGCGGTCACAGCGATGGGCTTCCTCGGGGTAAGGGGTTGTCAGAGTGGGGGAAGGATTGCTCAGGAGCGTGACTATCCAAAAAGCATCAGCTGTTTTTATCATGAATTTTTCGTCAGTTGCTGTCAGCATTTCTTACTCTTCCCCTCCTGTTAGGACACAAGCAGAAGATACGAAAACAAGGCTGGCAGTTTCATCACTGGAATTGATGTCACCTCCAAGGTAAGACAGACCATGATTTATTTATTCATTTTGATACGCGGGTGAACTTGGTTTCTAGGATTAGTGGAACTGCAATTATTCTTTACCACCTGTTTTCTTTAGTTGCTGGATTAAAAGTTATTTAGCTTAAATTTTATATTACACAGTGATGCCTTTGTGCATTCTGGAAACATCCAGGCAGTATTTGTGTATTCTCATGTTCATGCTAAGATAAAATCACTATACCTGTGCTCAATCATATCCAAGAAAAAGTTCTGCACTGCAAATGCTTTTTTATGCTGTATACATTCTTTAAAAGTGATATACTATTTTTACTTTAAATGAAACAAAACATGAAAAGTTCCTGGCACATAGTAGGCTCTTAGTAAATGTCTTTTATTCCTCACTGGCTGCAGGCTTAGAAAAATAGGATTTCCTGCCCTGGCTGGTGTGGCTCAGTTGGTGGAGCATCATCCTGTGCAACAAGGTCGCAGCTTCAGTTCCCGGTCAGGGCACATACTTAGATTGTGAGGTTTGATCCCTGATTGGGGTGCGTGCGGGAGGCAACCAATTGATGTATCTCTCTCACATCGATGTTATTTTTTTTCTCTCTCTCTCCCTTCCTCCCTCTCTAAAAACAAAAACAAAAACAAACAAAAAAACCCGGAAAAATAGGATTTCTTACTGTGTGGCTATCTAAACTTTGAAGACCAAGTCAGCTGAATTATTCTCAGTACCTGGGAATACTATCTTATCTAGTGATTGCTGTTACTAGATTACCAACTTCACTGTAATTCCTCACAGAGCCAAACCTATTATTTTTCTTATTATAAATAGTGCATATTTGTTGCTTTAATTGGTGATATCCAGTTTAGGCATTCTTTCTACTTTAATGTGTGCAATTGAGTGGAATAGAATCTTGAATTCTGAATAATAGTACTCTGTTGCTATATTGGATGTATAAAATAAAAAATAAAATGTCATACTTACATTTTTATATTTTATTTGGGACTCGATCTGTCTTAAATGGCTTAAAGGCCAAAAGAAAGAAGTGATCTTTTAGACAAACAAGAAAATAAAGTGAAGATGTTTTCTTATTGTAATTGAACCAGAAGTAGACTGTACTGTTCTTAATCCTACACAGTTTGCCATTATATTAAACAGATATAATGGGGGAAAGGGTGGTAGTACCAGAATTGGTACTTAAATTGTTACTAAAGAAAGGTAGATTAGCTGTTTGCACTGTGAAGATTTCAGGGAAGAAAATTAGCATAACTTGGGAAATAACAGAAGTGTTGTTGCTTTACCAATCCCCACAAGCTTTCTATACAGTCAGACCTTCAATTAGTGTGGCAAAGTCAGTATGTAATTAGCAAAGGGTTCCCAAGAGCTATCAGAAACACAGTTGGATCTGGATTTATTTTAGCTCTTGGAAAAAAAAACTTACGAAGCTGATTATTTTGTTTTTCAGTGAAGCGTCAATGCTTTTTGTCACTTAAAAATGAAAACTGGCAAGTCCATGGACACAAGCCTACAAGAGAGAGAGTTTCTTTGCCTCAAAGCTATTTTTAAACCAGGAAAAAGCCTTAGGGAGTGGACTGCTCATGCAGACATAATGTGGATGAGCGTGATAGGTGTGATTACCATGCACACAGACAGTGAAATGGGGATGGGGGGCGGGCTCCTAGAAATAGCACTGAGATCAGAAGTTCTGCACCACTTAGTGCTGAAGTTCCTCCAGCAAACCTTTTAACTTTTTTGTGCTTCAGTTTCTGCACCTGGAAAATTGAGATTTGAGATTGTTTAGTTGTAATTTGTTTGAATCATGACTGCTAATAAATGAAATGTCAGAGAATTAAGCATTCCTTATTACTCATTGGATCAACTAATATTCATTGAATTCCTACTCTGCCTCAGACACAGTGATAGGCATTGAATCATCATGGAGATTATTACAAATTATAGCAGCATTAATGTACACCCTCCCAGTCATTGACTTTGAATATCCAGTTCTCTGCAAAAATTATTAAAGGTACATTGTTGCTTATTTCTTCTGATTTATTTTAGGGTTGTCACTGATGCATTATGTTGTATTTGTGATTGTGTGTGCGATCTAACTTTTCTCGTTCATTGAAACATGGCTTTTTCTGTACCTTCTAGGAAGCAATTGAAAAGAAAGAACAACGAGCCAAGCGCTTCCATTTACGATCAGAAGTAGATCTTGCCCAAAGAAATATAGCCTTGGACCGAGACATGATGAAGAAAGGTACTGGGTGTTTGGGGGGAATTTTTCCACATTTCCCAGACAGTAACTTTTTCCTACTATGGCTGGTGCTTCTGGCCTCGCCTTGTATGTCCAGTCCTCATTCAAATACTCCCAAAGGAAAGGAAGTCTCCATTTTTGAGGTGGTCTGTTTAAAGTTGCATTAGCTGTGTCTCAGATGTTAGAGTTGAAAAAAAAAGATTGTCTTGTCGGAGGAAGCTCAAAGAACGTCACCCAGTTAGTGGCAGAGCTGAGATTAGAACCTATGCTTCTACGGACTCACCCATTCCTGCTCTTACCATAGAAAGCTTAACTTTTCTTTGTTTTTAAATGTATTGGAAGTAGCCCTAGCCAGTTTGGCTCAGTGGCTAGAGCATTGGCCTGCAGACAGAAGGGTCCCGGGTTCCATTCTGGTCAAGGGCACATACCTTGGTTGCAGGCTCCCGGCCCTGATCTGGGGCATGCAGGCAGCAACCAGTCGACGTGTCTCTCTCACATTGGTGTTTTTCTCTCTCTCTCCCTCTCCCTTCTACTCTCTCTAAAAATTAATGGAAAAAATACCCTTGGATGAGGATAAAAAAATAAAATAAATGTATATCACAGTGAGACCTCTTTAAGGGGAGTCAGAGCAACATTGGATTGGGGGGGAAAGCTGTCAGTGCTTCTTTAGATGCAGGCTTGTGATTTTATCTTACTTTTCTGTTTTATTAGGGTAAATGTTTTGCTTCCTGGAACTCACCCTGAATTATAAAGAGTAATCTGCCCCAGTCTTCTGAAGCAGTTTATAAAATAAAGGGAAAATTTTTAGTGCGTTCATAGCCATATTTATTATTCCACGCTAATATAAATCCATGAGTACAAAAGGTCTTCTTCTGTTGTATTTGCAAATTTGGGTATTTCTGAAGGACTTAATAGGCAGACCTCTGCATGTTAAAGGTCTGTGCTCTGCTGTATGAGTTTCTCTAGGCTTGCTTGATTGATAAAAGCATGTTGAATGAACGAAAGAATAACTACTATTTTGGGGGAACTTGCTGTCTTACCCGGCACGGTGTTAGTTGGCATATTGCATATTCGTTTCTTATTCATTTCTCACAACAACCCTATGAGGAATATATGTTTTATTCCTGTTTTACAAAGAAGTAGAAATAGGCTCAAAGAAGTTTAGTAAATGCCTGAGGTTATGCAGCTCGTAAAAGTGGAGTCAGGATTTCGACCTAGGTTTATCTGACTCTAAAGCCTTGCTCTTAACTGCTTTGCTCTATCGCCTCATGTATGTGATATGACAGCACAGACCCAAATCTCCTCAGTCTGTCCCAGTGGGTAGAGTAGCTTGGATGCAGAGCTCAACTCTGAATCCTGCTTTACACTTTTTTTCTGCCTCATGAGTTCAAGTTGGAAATATGGCCTTGCTGCCCTTGCAGGCTGGGTTTCCAGGCATCTACCTGAGTGGACTTCTGTTTCAGGAAAAGTCCTTTGAAGGCTAAGGATAGCTGTGCAGCTTGGCATTCATGTGCCTGCTCAGTCTGGGCCCAAGCAGAGCTCTGAAGCCTCTCTCATAACTGCAGCTTGCTTACCTCTAGCCGGTGAGCGTTCATTGTGGCAGTTCATGCCTTTTCATTCTGCTGATTGTGCCCTTCCTTGTCCCGTGCTTTGTCTTGTTCAGATGTCATTTTCCCCATGAAGCCCTAATCACCCACTCAAATTTCTTACCTCTGTTGGTGCTGGTGCCCTCCTGGAATCTTTTTCTCAGTTCCTTTGTGAATGTGGACAAGTTATTAAACCTTTTTAGGTCTCAATCTCCTTGTTTATAAAGTGAAAATATGATACCTACCTAAATAGGATCCTTTCTGGAGTTAAATTTAAAAAAAATTATTATTATTAATATTTTTTGAAAAGCAATACTAATCTTATGGTTCTAAAGATATTCCTAAAAAGCAATAGACCTGCCTGGATGAGCTGGGACATGTTGCTCATTTTAATCTGTTTTCATCCAGAAGGCAGCATAGTCTAGGGTAGTATTCCTGAACTCTGGAGAATCCTGCTGCCTACCCCAGATCATTTTAAATTAGGATGGGAGGTAGGCGAGGGGTTTGTATAGGTCCCAGCGATAGTTATTTTTATATCTCCCTAGGTAATTCTAATGTACAGTCAAGATTGAGAACCATTGGTATGGTGATTGAGAGTGTGGGTTCTGGCCCTGGCCTTTTTGTTCCATGGTTACAGCATTGGCCCATGGACTGAAGAGTTGCGGGTTCAATTCCTGGTCAAGGAGATGTACCTCGGTTGCAGGTTCCCTGGCCCTGGTGGGGACTCATGTGGGAGGCGACCAATTGATGATGTGTCTCTCTCATGTCTAGGTCTCTCTCTCTTTCTCCCCTCTCCCCTCTCCCTTCTCCCCTCTCCCTTTTCCCCTCTCCCTTCTCCCCCTCCCTTTCCCTCCTTCCCTTCCTCTTTCTAAAATCAGTTTGTTTTTATTTTATTTTATTATTTTATTTTTTTTATTTTTTTATTTTTTAAAATATATTTTATTGATTTTTTACAGAGAGGAAGGGAGAGGGATAGAGAGTTAGAAACATCCATGAGAGAGAAACATCCATCACCTGCCTCCTGCACACCCCCTACTGGGGATGTGCCCGCAACCAAAGTACATGCCCTTGGCCGGAATTGAACCTGGGACCTTTCAGTCCGCAGGCCGACGCTCTATCCACTGAGCCAAACCGGTTAGGGCAGTTTGTTTGTTTTTTAAAGAAAAGAGTGTGGGTTCTGAAGCCTGGGTGCCTATATTTAAATCCTGACCTGTTCCTTTCTAGCTCGGTGACTTGGGGAAGTTACTTAGGCTCTAAGAAACTCAGTTTCTTCATATGGAGAGGCAGATAACAGTAGTTTTCATAGGGTTGTTGGGAGGCTCTAGCACAGTGGTTCTCAACCTTCCTAATGCCACGACCCTTTAATACAGTTCCTCATGTTGTAGTGACCCCCATTTCATTGTTACAAATTGAACATAATTAAAGCATATCGATTAATCACAAAAACAATATGTAATTATATGTGTTTTTCGATGGGCTTAGGTGACCCCTGTGAAAGGGTCGTTTGACCCCCAAAGGGATCACGACCCACAGGTTGAGAACCACTGCCCTAGACCATTTGTTTAATGTTTCTTGCCATGTGACAGGACTTATCTGATTACCAGCAGCAAAGCAAACAAGTCATGATGACCAGAACAGCACTTCATGTGTCCTTAATAAATGCTACTCTCATGATTCTAGGTTTTAAATATAACATTTCAAAAATAATTGCCATATTGCCCAGTGACTATATGTATAAATACACATACTGTCTATACAGACATAAGTATAATTATCATTTAATTTATTTTTCCATCATACTGATATATGGAGGAAAAGGTTGAAAAGGTTTATATGGAATCTCTCCTATTAATTATTTCTGAGAGGCTAACCTTGCCTGGGGTCCCACAGCTAGGTAAGTAGCAAGGCTGGGATCTGAAGGCTGGTCTGGCTGAAGCCGGTGTCCCTCCTCACTGCCAGCTCTCAGGTAGAGTGTGGGATGTGCTGCACTGATCATTCTGCATCAAGAGTGACTTGCTACTTACTCTTAGCGACTCAAGGTCGAGCAGCTTTTGTTTCCTTATCCCCAAGATCAAAGCCTTCGTGGTTGGAAGAAACCTTAGAGGTCATCAAAAGTCACCGCCTGCCCAGCGCTTCAGGCCTTTTGGCAAAGTTCCCAATGGTCTTCTGGCTTCTGCTTGAACATTTCCTAGTGACGGCAGAAGAACTATTTATGAAGCAATTTTTGGATACATGTTAATACATGTTCCTCATGTTGAACAGAAATTACTTTCTAATAATTTCTGTCTATTAGTTATTTTGTGACCCTTAGAACAACATTATGTTCTTTCCTCATTCACATAATAATCCTTCAGGAATGAGCAGTAAGCCCATTTCCTACACTTTGTTTATGTGACTTGACTTCCTAGCCTCTCTCCTCTACACTCTTTTCAATCTCTAAATGTCCTTCATAAGGTGAGGTGTAGATTCAGATATTGTTGGATTCATGCAGAGTATGGCAGGGCTACACCATGATTTCTGTCTTACCTATTTCATAGTGTACTCACCTTCCAGTCAACCGAAGCACCCTGGTCTTTTCCCTAGGAATTCTCCCCATCAAAGCAGTCTTGTCTTTCCCTGACCGGTTTGGCTCAGTGGATAGAGCATCAGCCTGCGGACTGAAGGGGCCCAG